GGATAAGACAGAACCATTGGACCAATCTTTTGAAGTGACTGGAATAGAGACTGCATAGCAGACATTTGGCAAAATTACTTGTTGAATGAAGAGAAAGTGCCTGATATTGGTATAAGCAAATGCATGGGTGTCCAGAGTTCTTTTAAACACTAGTCCTTGAGGGGCTGAGAGATTGGCTTCATGTAGCTCCCTCAGACTTTTGCTAGGCTCGCTTACTACCAGCATTTCCAATGGTTCTCCTGTAGTCATCGTCATTCCTTCTCTGTTCTCTGCCTCACTCATTGATTCCCTGACTCATTCAGCCAATATTACTGAAGAGCTCGTCTTTGCCATGTTGTGTACTAGGCATTTGTGGGGAGAAAGTCTTACATTTTAGTGAAAGTTCACTCTGCCTTATTACTCCTTAGTCTTTTGAGTCACGAAGAGTGGAAAAAAGTAGCAGTGTGGTATAAAGAAAAGAGCAAAGATTTTAGAGCCATAAACTGAATTCACGTCATGGCCCTTCAAATTTAGCAGCTCTGTGGTTCATACAAACCTCTTAAGAATTAGCCATAATTTCTATAAAATTTCAAATCTATTTACTTGGCATGTAAGACCTCGATAAAAATAGCCATAATTATTTTGTAAAATGGTAACCCTGAAAATATGTTTTAGTTGAACATGAGAGATATTTGATATTACTGAATATTTTTAAAACTCTCATGAAAAATCTTAAGTATATCCTCCCATGATTTCAGGGATGAGTGATAACTGCATGGAAAGAAATAACTAGTTATCTGAATAGATATTCCATTATATTTTAATAATTACCTTTAAAGCTTATAACAAACATGAAAATGTTTGGCTTGCCTGAAATTTTCTTTTTGCCATAGATATAAGAGATACCACAAGGGCAATATATGTGACAAATTTTGGCTGGTATAAGCAACCATCTTATATCCCACGATAAATGTAGCTTCACTGACAGAGGCTTTCCTCCAACTATACTTATCACCATCCAGAAACAATTAAAAATTAAGAAAAAAGGAAAGGCACTGTTTACTTTCCCCCCATATCCATTTGCTACACCTACACACAGATGCCAGAAAGATCTTCAGTTTCAATACTGGGAAACAAAGTTTGTGTTAATAAGGATATATTTATAAAACACTATTAAAATTATTCGCAAGTTTATCTCATTAAGGCCCCAAATTAGAAAGGAATTTATAGTTTTAGATGGACAATTCTTTGCAAAAGGCTTTATGAAGTATTATCCATATTCCTGACACATGATCCTACCCTCATGACACTGAGTCAACAGAGCAAGACCGTTTCATGACTCCATGCTTTTCCGTCTGTTTTCTCTGCCTAGAATGAATTTTCCCTACTCCAAATTCCTTTATTCCTTGAAAACTCCCACTCATCCTTGAAAGCACATGTCGAACAACACTTTATGAAACCTTTCCTGAAACCCTTCAAGGCGAGTTTATCATTTTACCCTCTCCATGTCTAAGGACATCTTTTCACTAGAACAATAAGTAGCACTTCTATTATATTATGTTCCCTGACATCAAGTCAGCTCTGATTTCCAAGTGCTCATCACTGAGCCAGGCATGTAATACGTGTTCAATCAATGTCTTTTTGAATGATTGAAAGAAAGACGTTACTTTCCTGATTCCTACATAACCACTTCATAGGTAGTTCTAGTTATACTCATTGAATGACAAGCAGACATGGTGTAGTTCAAAATTAACAATTTTATTATGGCTTTAATCTGGTTCTTAAATAAGCATGACCATTAAGAGCCACAATTTTACATTTCCACAGCCTCTAAATAATGGTGCTTCTCCTCTGATTAAGTTTAGATATAGTGGCTGTACTGGGAAGTTTAGAAAAGTTTGCCAGTATAAAGCGTCCCACATTCCAGGGAAAGAGAAGGTGCCATTCTTAAGGACATCCAGTCACTTTCAGGAGCACTTGATTCACTTACCATTTCAATTAAAAAACAATAATGTACACTTAATATCTGTTATCACATTATTTAATAAAATTGTTCTGTTCAAAAAGCTTCTTTTAAAAATCTCATACACCATTCATTTTGACATGTGAGACCCGTAGGTAAAAAAAATACAAATTATCCTTCCCTGCTCTGAATGCACAATCAATTTTTATGTAAAGTTATAGTACCACAAATAGTATGATAATAAAAAAAACTAAGAATTCTGTATTGCAGATCAATGGATATGATCATATGCTATATAGTAATGGTAAGAACTTAATGTGTGTATAAATGAAGTTATTAGGTTAACCTGGGAAACATATTCATAGATGATATAATATTAAAGTCTATTTTCCCATTAGAATTCCTTTAAGACACTAGTAATGTTTGTTAAGTCGCAAATATAGGCAAAACAGAATTCCTAACATTGAAACCTCTATAATTTCTTAATATGATTTTTTGGTTTTCCTTCTAATTAACACAAGTTATCTTCTCGAACAACCCATGTTTTAAAGTCAATAAACTTATTTCAGCTATTTTTTCCACAAATAGTATAGATATATGAGTGTATACTTTTTTCCCTAATCACAAATCTGGAACATGGGTAGAATTTTCTTCAGTATCTCTAATACCAAACTAAATATATTTATTTTGTATTTTCTTGAAAATAGTGGTTCTCAAAATGATGAGATTCCACTTCATTCCACTTCATTGGTCTGTGTTTTTTTGTTTGTTTGTTTGTTTGTTTTTTAAATAGTAGTTTTCTATCATTTTTCCTGGGCCTGTTTTCAAATGAGAAGTGACCCTCAAATGAGAAATGAAGTATGCATGATACACAGGAGAGGAGAAACCCACCAAAACTGCATTTATTGAAAAACTGCCTTATTATTTCCTTAAGTTTTAAATACATCAACAGGATTTTCCCCTTGGGGATTTATAAATAGCAAATTTCAAAAAAAGGATTAATGCTTCTAAAATTTCTTATCATGTAATTGTTTGCTTTTGCTTTCTATTAAACCAAATATCCCATCATATATTACTAATAGGTTAATATCTCCTAAAATCTTGCAAGTGAAGCACATATTGACATAATCTGATATTTTTCCTTAAAACAGAGACCTTTTCATGGACTAAATTTTTTTTTAATTCCATAGAATAATGTCTTAAAAAAAACACCCATATCCAAAAAGAAAGCTTTTAATTTGTTGTATTTCTTGCTTAAATTAATTCAAAAAGTTCTTTGCTTAGAAAAAAAATGTAGCAGAATGCAATATGTATACACAAGTATACATTTTTATTACTGCCTACATTTTGTAGAGAAACTGAAAACAAACAATTAATTAGTTGAAGTTTTAATGTAAGAGGAAAACTACACATATTATGAGGAAAAAGCCATTTACTCTACCATGAAATGAGATTGCCAAGGCCAATGTTCCAAAAGTGAGCTAGCTCCTCAGAACTAAGAATGCTAAGTGGTGCTATGTGCAAAAGGGATTCTATAGTTCAATGAAGTTTGGAAAATGTCTGTTCAACAGAGTTAAATAGGTACTGAAGGACTGCTCAGAGCATTTAAAATGTTTATGTCCACTCTCAATCATGTTGTAATGGCAGACTTTTCCAGAACTACTTAATAAAACCTTCCTGTTTTGTTCTTTTTGGCTTCTCTGCTGGGAGGGGAGAGCATGCCTGGGCCACTGGCCAATATACCTGTATAACTACAACTAGGTTTTTTCTTAAATTTATTTTTTAAATTAATTATTTTGTTTTTAAATTACAGTTGGCATACAATATTATATTAGTTTCAGGTGTACAACATAGTGATTTTATATAACTTATGAAGTGATCACCCTGATAATCTAGTATCCATCTGACACCATATATAGTTATTACAATGTTATTGACTATATCCCCATTGCATCAAAAAGAATAAAATATTTAGGAATAAATTTAACCAAGGAGGTAAAAGACCTGTACTCTTGGAAAACTATAAAATGTTGAAGAAAAAAAACGAAGAAGATACAAATAAATGGAAACATATACCATTAATAAGAGTCAACATCGTTAAAATGTCCATATTACCCAAAGCAAACTATCAAAATGCAATCGCTATCAAAATATCAATGACATTTTTCACAGATCCAGAACAAACAATCCTCAAATTTATATGGAACCACAAAAGACCCCAAATAGCCACAGAAATCTTGAGAAAGAGGAACACAGTTACAGATATCATGCTACCTGACTTCAAACTAAACTACAAGGTTATAGCAATCAAAACAGCATGGTACCAGCATAAAATCAGACAGCTATATCAACAGAACAGAATAGAGAACCCAGAAATAAACTCACATTGATGTGGTCAATTAATCTATGACAATGGAGGCAAGAATATACAGTGGGGTAAAGACAATCTCTTGAATAAATGGTGCTGGGAAAACTGGACAGACACATGCAAAAGAATGAAACTGGATCATCATCTTATGCCATATACAAGAATAATCTTAAAATGAATTAAAGACTTAAATGTAAGAAACCATAAAACTCCTAGAAGAAAACATAGGCAGTAAACTCTCTGACATCGCTGTTAGTAATATATTTTTTAGATATGTCTCCTTGGACAAGAAAAACAAAAGAAAAAATAAACAAATGGGACTGCATGAAATGAAAGAGTTTTTGCACAGTGAAAGGAACCATCAACAAAGCAAAGTCACAAACCTGCTGAATGGGAGAAGATAGTCACCAACGATATAACTAGCTCTTGATAAATCTTTTTTTCTTATATATATATATATATATATATATATATATATATATATATATATATATATATATATATATTCCTTACTGGCTTTGTAACAATATTCAGATCTCCCTAACCAAACATTATTTATGAAGCTTTGGCAGAATGGCTCCTTTAGCCACTCTGCCTTAGTTAGAAATTTACATTTCTGTTTTACATTTGGCACAGTTTCCATGGACATTTGTCTTCTAATTTGCCACTTTCAGAGAAAGAAGTACCAACCTGAATGCTTCAAGGTACTCAATGTCTCCCATGGGGGGGTCAAGGCCACCTGTCCAGGCAATATTTATATTGTATCCTTCTCCAAGGCCTGCTCCAACCTATGAAGAGAAAAACCACACCACAGCGGGTAGAAGAGGGCACAAGGAAGAAAGCAAGAAGAGAGGAAAACAAACACATGTGAGCTCTTGAAATAAACATCAAACAACATGTCAAATCAGCCCACCCTTGCTTGACAACCAGTGCTCTGGGTTATGCACTTGTTCTGCACTGGTTTTTGCTCCCGTGGGACAATTCAGTAATCTCGTGTAATTTAAAACACCAGCAAAGGACAAGAAAATTATGGGTAATCATGCGATGCAATTACCTGAAAGATACAAATAAAAGTGGGGCTCTAAAGAAATAAACCGAACCTCATTTGGGGCTCCACTGCCAGGGAAAAAGTTCCCTTCATCATAGCGATGGAGGGAAATATACAGGATGCTGGGGTCAGCATAAAAGGCTTGCTGTGTACCGTTTCCATGGTGAACATCCTACGGGGGGGGGGAAAAAGAACAGATGACACATACAGTCATGTCGAACTCTGTGTAGACAAGTTTTCTGATTTTGAGTTCCCTGTCTCTCTACCCTACCCTCCTTCTCATGTTTTGTCTTCTCACTGTGTCCTCTGTCTCTCTCCCCTTCAGTTTGCTTCCACACCACCCCCTTTACTTCCTGAACTTTCAGGCAAATTACCCTTTAATGCACTCATTTTTTAAACCGGCTTCTAAAAATCAGGAAACCACAGTGCACATGCCCTGGAGACTCCAGATGAGCAGTCATTGAGAAAGCCCAGTCCTTTGGTACAATTAGATATTTATACACCGGCCCTTTGTACTCTTTGCTTCAGTGATGGAATCTCGCATCCTGTTTTATGGAGGAATTTTATGACTTATTAACTGCCAACAGTTCATAACCCCTCAGGCTTAATTAACTAGCCTCATTGGCCTCTGAAGAAAGACTAATGTTTAAACTACAAACTAGTATTTTGCAGAAGGATCTATGGCTTACAGAGCATTTTCACAATTCTTGACAGAACACTAAACATACGTGTATGCATTGATTTGCCAAGTCCCACCATTAAGGTCAAAGGCTTTGCAACCAGCTGAGTAAATTGGCTTTCTTGAAGCATTCAGTTCAGTTAGCAATCCCTCAGCAGTTAGAATCACTTCAAAAGAGATGCCAGATGCAAAAAGGACTTCATACTTTATTTTGGTAAAATCGTGATGGCAAGTCAAAGACACAGGAGCATGAGCTCATTAGCTATTAAATCATTTGGTCCAAAGCAGAAAGATGGCATGGGGTTTTATGCAATCTTGTCCAATCTGCCTAATTTTAATATTATATCATGGCTGTCTTCCCAGCCTCCTTCCTCCTCTTTTTTCTTTCCCCACACCACCCCCTCTTCAAAAAAAAAAAAAAAAAAAAGGCCTGTGTCATTTTAAAGAATAAAAAATAATTCTTTGGACATTTGTAAAAACAGTTGTTTTTTTCTAATTGTTTTATGATCTAGACATACATTGGAACTGATAAAAGAAATGGGAATAATAAAACTAGTAACATTTTAAAAATGTCTTCACTGAAAGACCTCAAATGTTAAGAATTTCAATTAATATATTTCCTAATATCTTTGGAGCAAAAACAAAATACATGACTTAAAAATGAACAACCTAAATATTTGTATTCAATATGATATTACTGCCACCTGTGCGACATAGATGGTTTTGGGTTCTGTTAAAAAAAGTTTTGGTTACTTGTATCTATAAGAACAACATAAACTGTACTTTACATCAATAATGATATATTTTCAAAAATGATTTCTATAGTTTTTGCATCAGGCACTATAGCAAATACCTGGCATGTTTATTTAACAATTTTATGATGTATATGGCATTATCCCTAGCTTAAAAATAAGTAAACTGAGACTCAGAGAGTTTCAGTAATTTACTAAGATTACACAGAGAATAAGTTGCAAGACTGTGTCTTGAATCCACGTCTTACTCCAAAGGCTAAACTCATAACCATTATACCGTTAACTTGCACTTACATTCATCATCTCTTTGATCCTCTTAGCAAACAAACCGGTGAAGTGAGATTTGTGGTCATTATTGCTCCTTATTGAGTTTTATATAACTTGTCTCCACTTCAACCGCCAGCCCAGAGCTCCCTCACTAAACACCACCAAAACCTTCCTTGGATGAGTTCTAAAAGCCTGCACTGAGCTCGCTATCCACAGTGTAGACATACGCTAATCCTCTCTCCCTTTTATATAGTGCATACATCCCAAATCAATTAAGGAATCATAAAATATCGGGGAAGATCTGCATCATTCTAGAAAATTGTTCTGGCTCAAGGCATACTCATCAGGGGAAAAAAAATAGCGTACTGGAAATATATCAATTCCTGGATTTCCGAATGTTCAAAGGAAAGGAAGGAGCAGATAGCAAAACTATTTTCCTGTATGTGAACAAAAACGAAATCGTTTAAGCCACAATGTCTTTTGAAATTGCTACTGGATACCCAGAGGATGGACAAACAAAATACTTTCAAAAACAACAGTGAAGGAATGTTTGCATTTCTACTACACGATAGGATGTTTTAGTCAGCATTGTGAGAAAAATTTTGTTCTGGGCCTAAAAGCACCTACACTTTGAAAATCAAAAAATAACTGCTTTGATTACTTCTGCGTCTTTAGTGATGTTGTAAAAGTTTATTTAAGAATGTCAAATAAAAGATGATAATTTGTCTTAGATATAAAACTATTTGCTTTTGAAAAATGTCTTGGGTGCTTATTATTGCATACATTTCTGAAAAGGAAACATAGTGTTGCCCACAGCACAAGGTTCCAACAGACATTTTTCATTGAAATACACAAATCCATTCTAAAAATACTTAATTAATGATTCCATATTCATATTCCCAAAGTATTTAGAGATAAAGGTAAGAACAAATATGCCCTTTGTTTTGGGCAACAACTTACAATATAACCTTGAGAATGTGTGTCTGTGTGTGTGTGTGTGTGTGTGTGAGTGTGTGTGTGTGTGTGTGTGTGTGTGTTTAGCTTTCTCTGCTGCAAAATATTCATACAAAGTAATTAATGCTCAGATATGGTATAAATATTTTTTCTCCACAGTAATAAAATATACTAGATGACATAAGAAAATCATGGGTGATTATGAGAAATTATAATAATGAAATTAACTGAATCATTAAATACCTCAAAATTGACCCTGTATATAAGATTTGCTGTGAAATGCTGAAAAATTGTTTCATTATTTTTACTGCTCAAAAATATACTGTGAACATTTATTCAAGGATTTAGAACCAATATGTTTTCATTACAATGTTAAAATAGCTTTGAATAAATCATATATTCTACCAGCTAATATTATCACTTATAATTATTTTGTATAGGCACTTGTGACAATTTTTTGGTCAAGTTTGGGGCTTAATCAAAAATGGAAAGCTCCAAATCTGACACTTAAAGTGCCTTTTATGAAGAAAGCCTAAAACATATGATTTCAACTGAAAGTCACATTAAATAAAAGCTACCTGAGCTATGCAGGCAAATCATACTTCTAGAATAGGTTCATGCCCTGAATACAACGACTGGCCTCTTGCAAGTGCACCTGCTCCTTCTGCTCACCAATCTGTGTGTCTCTGGAATCTTCCCCAGAAGGAGAACTGGAAGGAATGAACTCCACAGATCCTGGAATCCTTCGTGCCTAAAATACTCAACGCCTCTGAATTTGGCTGTGTACCCCCAAAGGAGGTAAAGTAGAGCTCTGGCTCTCTATGTCCTAGGCATATAAAAAGGATGAAGCCAGCTGCTGGACAATGGAAGAGCTTTGCCTTCTGCTGGCCCAAGGATTTGTGGAGCTAGTTTCACACAGAGTAGCTAAAATGATTTGACTTTGGATATGCAGGAACGAACTTCTTTTGCCACTGAAGAACCTTCGCCTCTTCTCCTCTGCTAACTTACAGAATAGACCTGTCAGCCAGGAGAACGGATGTCTCAGCGCCACGTGGCACTTTAAAACTTCCTTCTCGGCAGCTGGAAGAAGCAGGGGAATTTCCTCAAAGTATCCCTGCAGCTGCAGAATTTGGACGACTTGAAAGCAAGACTGTGCAGCTAGTGGTGATCTCAGAGGCAGCCCCTTGGACAGAACTTCATATATTTAGAGAATCTGAAACAGAAACTTCTCCTCCACTACAGCCTGCTGGGAAATGGCTATCCTTTAGGATTGGATAATGGAGCAAATTCATAATCAAAGGCCAGTAAGCTTACAGGACGCTCCTTGCAGCTACCGAGCGACTTATTTTATAAATCATAGAGGATTATCTCCAGCAGCCTTTTATTCTTTATATTCATGTACAAAAACGAAACTTTACAGACAAATCCTCCGAGGTGCAATGTATCCACCTATCACAATCTAGGCGTTTTAGCATTCACGTGTATTGTACAATTCATTACTTTAGAGTTTGGATATCACAAATGTGGTTTCAAAGGAACTCAAACGTTATTGATTATCTTCATAGAACCATAAAATGGTGGCAGAGGCGATTCCTCCGAAAGTAATACTAATAGATTCTTAAGGATAGGATGAACAGTTTACCAATCTTTCCCTGCATAATTTCGACAAAGTTAGAGAGCTTAGAAAAAATTTCCCACAATCCTTGGTCTTCATCTGCTACCCTTTCTTCAAGCGTTTCACTTATTCTGACAGAACATACAGTACTAAAAACATATTAAATTATTTTTTAAAATTTACTCTCATAAATATGCAAACCCGTAATTATTAATTATTTAAAGTGTCCTTTTGTATGTACATGGGAAAATAGGCACTGATGTCCTCGCTTTTGTTAAGTTTTAAGACCTTCCTGCTGTGGTATATCTAGGCCTTCAACACATATCTTTATTGGTGAACTATGACCTACACTGAATCTTAAGCATGTTTGGAAAATACATGGAAAGTTGGGTTTCAATATTCTCAGCACCCAAGCGCTTGCAGGAAGGCTACGATACAGTATGTGGGAAACATCCACTCCTACCGAGCACTAGAAATGTTTATCAGTCTTTTATTCCTTTTATCTTCATTTTAACTTTGCTAAGTATTTCTTCACATGGCTTTGTTTGTGCTCTCTCAACCCTTTGGTGTGCCTGCTTAACTGAATCAGAGAGCTGGATGGTGAGGCCGCGACTTCTCAATAAGATTTAATTATGAGTGCAGATATGAACAAGATTTAGACTATTAAGGCTTGCACTTCAAAAAAAACTTTTAACATATTTTGCCTTTAAATCTTTTATCACCTGCAAAAATTAATTAAGTGCAGATGTAGCAGGTTCGCTTTGGATGCCAGGGTTCATTTCCTGTCTATGCTTTGTCAGACAACCTATTACACCTCCTCGTGAACTGGAGGCAAACCGAAAACGGGCCTCATAAATCACCAGTCAGCTCTCTTTCACCCTTTCCTGGGCTGGTCCTTTTGTATGGGGCAGATCTCCAGCTCATTATTCATGAATATACTATAGACAACATGCCAAGTGTCATCTGCATTTAAACAAACCATTTGTTAAACAAATTATAACTCTATTGTGTAAGAATGCATCATGTTAAAAAGCAAGACTAATCTAATACCTCTGACTTTTAATCACTCCGAGTCCCTGCCGGGAGCCATCCCAAACTGGCACCCATGATCTGAGATCTTTTCAGAAAGAATGACATGCTGACTTGTTTTAATAATACCACCGTTGCACAACAAGCAACATGATTGCTAACCAGGGGAAGTGGCCAATTGGTTACCAAAGCAACAGCATTCTTTCCAGCACATCTGACTGTTTAAAGTCTATATTCTGTAGGGAAAAGTAAATTCAGGTTCTGTTGGGTTATTTTAACTGTGGAAGTATCAATTCATTTAAGGATCATAAAAGTTGCCCTGATCTGCGCCTTCTTCTCATTAAATTGCAGTTAACACCATGAAAGTGAAACGTGAATGTTTATGGTTTCAGAACTGCAATCCTGAATTTAATGAGTTTCCACATTCAAAGGAAACGCACCCTTCAGTTGTTTGCAAGTGCTAAAAGCAAGACAACCTAACAGAGAAATACAAATGCACTCCCTTTTATCTAGAGTCACTGAAAATGCAGCTCTGGCCAGGCATACATACCAGATCTACAATCAATATCTTGCTTATATTTAGTTGGTCTCTCAAGTATTTGGCGGTAATTGCAACTGAATTAAAAAAGCAGAACCCCCTGCGGAATAGAGAAGAACAGAGAAATAAGAGAGCAAATCAGCCAGGAAAACCATTATAAATAATGTTCAGAGCATTTTTTAAAATGCTATATGATCTCTGAAGCCATAAATCTGCTTCTGGGAGTACCTCGCAAGATTTTTCAGCCCATCTGCTAACAATTAGAGGCTTCAGAGACATGCACAGGGCAGGTGACTGCCAGGAACCGTGGCGCTTGGAGATGGGCAACAGTCCCTGGTACTTACATGGCTGTGGATTCTTCCGCGTGATGGCCTGGGGGCCTCACAACAGCAAACCCATTCTGTAAGAACAAGACATGTTTTCAATGATCAGATATGGGAGCACTGCTTGGATCTCTGTGTGCTACAGAGCATCAGACACACACAGAAAGACTGAAGTCCACAGAGGCTTCCGAGTTTGTTTTCTTGCCCCCATTACCATTTCATAGAATGAGCAGAAACAATATAAATGATCACATTTGCTCAGATTGCGCCTCACAAAGAAGGCTCCCACAGAGCCGGGGAAGAACAGGGATTTGGGAGTTGTACCTAGCTGGCAAGTGTGCACGTCAGCTGTTTTACTAACATGATTCATTTTCAAGAACAGCTTCTTACTTTATGACACCAGCATCCTACAGCGGGAGAAGAAATTCACTCTGGGTGCAGGTTTGGGTCAAAGTTCGGAAAGACCAGGGAAGATCCAAAGTGAAAATTCTTTAGCTGGATTCCCTGAATGGTTATTTCCACTCCAATGTCAGCGAAATGATAAATTTACACTCGCACACTCACATACACAGAAAAGAAACCCCAGAAAGGTGAAAAAGAGAACAATGGAAAGCCCATATTTCTTCCAGTCTATAAATTTAGCTTGGATGACTGCCAAGACTTGCAACTTTATTGGATTCCCTAAGTCAATTTCTAGCCCACGTTCTGGAATTTTATAAAGAATTCCAGGGCTGAGTAGCAATCAGATCTATCCATGATCAAGGAATGCCTTAACCTCCAGATTAGTTGGAATGCATCACGGAAAGCTGAAGTAACTCCAGCATGAAGGAAGGGAACTATAAATCCTTGCAAAGCCAGCATTCTCAGAAAAGTTGGGTTGCTTGATGTTAAAAACAATCATTTATCAGATAGATGGTTCACACCACCTTCTACTTAACTATGATGCAAGTAACATGCTCAAAAGACAATTTTAAATTCTTTAATATACAATCTTAAAACTTTTGAAATAACTTTAATACGCCTCAGGGATATCTTTTTCCAAATTTTACTACAAGTGTAATAATCTATTCCCTAGGGCTTTAAATATATATAACTTTTTTAGACTGTTATAATAATTAACACACAATGAGTTAATTTACATATTTTGATGAGAATATGCATAACAATAAACTCAGAAGCAAATCAGAAGTCAAATAACACAATCTCAATTACAAATCTATGAATGGTGATAAATATATTCCCTATTCTTATTAAGGTACTTTCTGCCTGGTATAAAAGTTTGATATGAAAGAAACTATTAATGAACCACACAAGACAACAGAGACTAAAATTTTAAGATTGTAGAGTGAGACTATACAGTCTGTAGGACTTCTGAGAATGAAGAATTCAGTAAAGATTCGGATAGATGTGATATTTTTTTATTGGGAAAACAACAGTTAGGGTGAAAATAACAAATATGATATAAGGCAATATAATTAGCATGTAACAAACTTTTATAATTAGATTAACAATAATAATGATATTTCCCAATTCAATTTAAAACAATATGTTTTATGGAAAGAGGGCACAGCTAGACAAAATGAAGAAAACATCCAGTGATTAACAACTATAAGAAAAAATATTCAACTTAGTAAGCAATCAAATAAAAGCAGATGAAAAGCCCAATGGGAAATCATTTTTCACCCAGGAAATTGGAATTTTAAAAAGTACTCTGTGCTGACAATGGAGTTGTACTTTATACATTCATAAATACTGCTTATAGGAAAATAAATTATTATAGCCTCTCTAGAAAATAATCCAACTCTATATATCTAAAGCCTTTAAAAGCATTTATATACTTTTCGAATTAGTAATCTACTTAAAGGATTTTTATCCTAAAGGTGTTATTAAGTGTATAGACAAGTATTTATATAAAAGATGTTTTATTTACAATAGGAAAAATGAAAATTATGTGAGTTAGCTGATAATTGGAGAATGTTTATATGTGCATCTATACCATGGAATATTAGATAGTCATTAAAATTTTGTTATCATAAATATTTAGCGGAACAGAAATACTTATCAATATTAGAAGTATTAGTGTTAAAATAACATATACAGTATGGTATATCTAGTGATGGCATTATGTGGGTTGTTTTTAATTTATAATTTCATATCTTTTCCAAATGGTTTTACAACAAACATTATTTCACAGTGAAAAAATATAAAACAAAGAGAAAGTTGAGAGGAAGATTTTAATGGGTCTTAGAGAAAGAGTGTGTTTACAAAGGCAGAAAAATGATTTAAAGGGTATTCTGAGCAGGAGGAAAAAGCATGGACAACAGTTCAGAAAAAAGGATTTTAGACAATATTATGCACAAATCAATCTGAATAGAGATCACGTGAAGAGACAAAATGGAAATGAAATCACATAGGTGCTTAGCTAGATTATAGAGGACAAAAAGCCAAGTAGAATTTGAATTCCATCCTCCTTTTCTCTCTTACAGCCCAATTCCACCAGCTCAGCCTTTCACTTTACAACCTTCCACAGTATAACCTCCACTATTCTGCTAAACTGCTTGATTTGGGGTTGAAAATTCTTGCCAATAACAAACCTTCTCTCAGTCAACATGATCCACCCAAACCGTCCACTGTGTTCTCAGAAATGGCAAACTCCTCTACATTTCCCATGTTTTTTCTGAACGCCCCCTGCCCCTTTCCTTAGCTTAAATCTGCCAAGACTGCTTCTCCCATCATCAGCTCCATTGGTAGCTGCCTCCTCTCGTGCCTTACAAACATGCCTGCAGCACAAGATAGAGCTGGTGTCCTCCTTGGTTCTCACTGCTGCTCTAAGAGCACAGAGCACACTGCACCCGCACCCCACAATACTCTCTTGTAAATATGATTGGTTCCCCCAGAAAGAGAGAAGAGAGAACACAATAGGATGACAGACTGGGGCAGTCCCCTCCCTTTCCCTCCTGTAACACTAGAAGAGGCGTTTGTCTTTCTAACAGCTACCTCACCACCTGCAGTTAGGATCCAATCCCTTCCTACTTCTCCACTGTCATTTATGTTTTTCTCACTAACATATTAAATTCATAGTAAAATTCCCAATTATATACATTTCATTAAGATTTAAATACGTGCCAATGTCTGCCATCTTGAAAATAAAATCATACATTAACCAAGATACTACCAATATATACAAATATACAAATATATACATATACCAGGGGCGCCAAAAATGTATACACATGACTTGTATTCATTTTTTGTTTTCAGTATGTATTGAGCATTGCAATTGCAATCGTTTTTTCCTTTCTTAAAATATCTATATATTTTTGGGGCACCCTCTGTGTATGGGACTATTTGTATATATCTCCATCCTTAATCCCACTGATCCCTCTAACTACCACACTTCTTTTCTTCACATTAGCAACCACAATTCTTGAAAGGGTGGTCTACTTAGTTTCTCATTTCTCCTTTTCCTCACTGTTGCCTCTAATGTATCTTCCACCTCCATTACTCCACTAAAGAAGCTTTTATTAAGGTCACCGTGGCTTCCACGTCACTAAATCCAATGACATTTTTATGGTCTCAGCCTATTTGACTCCTCATTAGCTTTCAACACTATTGGCTGTACCTTCCTTTTTAAAACACACTCTTCTCTTGGCTTCTGTGACTTCATAGTCTCCTGGTTTCCTTTCCTCTCTGTCCGCTTCCCAGTCAATCTCATTTGAAGGCTCACCCCTCAGCCTGTTCAGTAAATCCTGAAGTTACTCAAGAATTTAGTAACTTAGACTTAGATTTAGTAATTTAGGCTTAGACTTACAACTTTAGTCTTAGACTTCTCTTTTTCTCTTTCCGTACTTACTTCCTAGGCAATGCCACCACTCTCATATATTCAGTTACTACCCATTATCAGATACTCTACAGATTTCTACTTCCAAGATGAAACTTCCTCCCAGCACCAGACCAAAATCAGCCCACCTACTCAATGTCTTCACTTGGATAGCACAAGGTCACTTCAAATTCAATATATCCAAGATCAAACTCTTCAACTTTTCCCAGCCTTCTCTAATTTACCAATAATACCATGATTCATCCAGTGGCTCAAGTCAGGGACCAGTTATCCTGACTTATCTTCAATGGCTCCATCTCCTTAGCCTTCCTCCATCTCAGTCTAATTTATAACCAATTCCTGTTGATTTTGCTTCTAAGTATCACTGAAATCTATGTACTTATATCTCTATCTGCTCCTTGAGTATTTTGCCTTCTGAATTTCTGCCTTTCTTTCCATCACTCCTCCAGTAATAATATTTAGTGATTTCAATATGATCTTCCACACACTCCATTCAATATCCTGACTTCTCTGTTCTCTGACTTATCTTCAATAAATTGTCTTCTGTTTACAGTCCTAGACCTTGCCATTAACAGTAATACTCTCCTCCATAATCTCAATGTCAAACATCCTACTCTCCTACTATCTTGTTTTCCAGTTAATGCCTCAACTCTACTGAGACTTCCAATCCACTGACCTTACTTAACTTCTGCTGTCCATCATTCATCTCCACCACCATGTTCACTTCCTTCCTTATCTGGTTAGACATCAGGGTCCATCATTATATTCACTTCCTTGTATGTACTTTCAGACAACGTGTCCCTTTTTCCCTCCAACATACCTCCCTCGTGTATTAGCCTTCTCTGGCTACCTAATGAAATACCATAGGATGGGTAGCTAAAACAACAGAAATTTATTTCTCTAGTTTTGGAGGCTGGAAGTTGAGATTAAGGTCTGGCAGGAGCACACTTCCTGGCTTGCAGATGCCGACCTTTTCCCTAGAGTCCTCACATGACCTTTCTTCTGAATGCACACTCATGATAGGAGAGGGAGAGGGAGAGGGAGAGGGAGAGAGAGAGAAAACTAACTCTGGTGTCTCTTCCTCATCTTATAAGAGCCCCACCCTATCAGATTAGGGTCCTACCCTTATGCACTCCTGTAATATTTATCACTTCCTCATAGGCACTTTCTCCAAATACAGTCACATTGGGAGGTAGGAATTCAACACATAATTTTTTTTTTTTTGGTCAGTGGGGG